CATTATTGTAAACAATGTTGCCCTTTTGTTTGGCAGCCAGTAACCCTTCTACTAAAATATATTCAACTCAATCATTCAAAATCAGCAATAAATCAAATAGTAAGAAATGTTGAAGCTGATGAAGCTTAGTGCTTTCATGAAATCCCTCTGCTTCAGTTCTCTCCTGATCGATGCCTTTCTGATTGTGTTTGACATTTTCTGCACTGACTGATTGGGGACATGACAAACCACAGCATTTTTCACAGCTGAGCCTTTCACAAGCACCAACTTATTCTCCTTAACATCCCCTTAACCTCTGGTTTTGGCAACTAAAACTCAAGTTGTTTGATGGAAAGATTGTGTGTTTGAAGGAAAACCATGAGGTTTAATGTTTTATTTATAGGAGGCATGGTGTCGTTTCCTGTGTTGAAGGCACAGGACACTTAAATCCCAAGTGGATATTCATTAAAATGTTAACAGGGAGTTGAGCATTAATGCTTCCTAGACGCCTATCGCAGGCTTTCCTCCTGCATTTGCACTTTGAAACTTACTGGAAATATAGCCAGCAGCAGGTTGTTACAACCCGGCACATAGGCTGCCGTAAGACAGTTCTGGCTATCTTCATCCAGACAGCTGCCTCCCTATTTGGGAACTTTAAATAGTGAAATAAGTAGGTACAGCTCCTTACAACTTCACATATCAGCGGTCCCTAAATGCAGAATAAACAGAAACATGGCGACTGACCAAGGTTCTTCCCCAGCTGTTGCCTGCAGCCAGTAAGGACAATCCAATAGAAAAAGATGCGATCCGAAAGATTTTCTTAGCTGATGCTAGTTCCACATTCAGGACGCAGTCTGAAAACTTTGTGCAAAGATAGATATTCAAAAACGTCAAAGTTTCATTTTCTTGGAAGGAATAAAAAAACAAATCCTTGTTTTTGGCTGACTTTGACAACTGTGTGCATGTCTGTAGTGTTGTTCTGCATCCCACCTCATTCACTGGCCAGGAGCTGCACTTACTGTATGTTTGCTTAGGCATGCATCCTGCTACTAAAACAAATCAACACATGTCAACATTTGGTAAACAGATGTATAGCTGTGTTGGTTGAAAGTTAAAATCATGATTTTGACACAATAGAAAACCAACAACATTGACTTTATGTAAGTCTTGTATTATGTAGATTCAATCGGCATATCAGGACAAAGATCAACAACATTTCCTTGGTCGCCACATGACCAAGCCTAATGTTTCGCTGGCCTCGCTGCATCCATCCTTTACTGTCAGGCTGAATCTAAAAGGCACATAACATTACAATTATAATGCTCTACAAGGGATGACCACATGCTAAATACTCAGCGAACTTTGTAACAATGTCAACTTTGTTCACAAAAAGGCTACATTTTGAAAATAAACTTGACATATACATACGCCTAAAGGAAGGAGCTCTTTGGTTTTAAATGGCCCCACGACCTTCCTAGAGCAGACCCCATAGGCTTTCTGTAGCACATATATTGGCTTTAAAATGGTGAAAGCTGTAGTATTTTGTACTTATGTGTTTGCATCAAGAACATTAGAGAACATTTGAATTTCCAAATAATGTACTTAATGTACACTGAATGCGAAATACAATTTTATGTCACCCTAAATGTTAGGGCATGTGTTGAATTAGTATGCATGATTGATGTTCTTTTCTATAAGAGTACATTTTATTTTGTGAACAGTAGGTAAAGATTTCAGAGCTCGCTTATTACTTAAAATAGTCAGATGTGAAAAAACTTGACACTACTCTACTGTAGGTTTAATTAAGATATTTAGATGTTTACACTGCTGAAGAAAACTGATTCCAAACCTCAAAAGATATCAGACAGACCTGTTCGGTTATTTAAAAAAAAAAATTATAATTCACTGGGAAGCAGATTTCTTCTTGTTTACTTCCGGAGAGATTTTTTTAATTTAATAAACCATTACATCCTTTTTAATGTGGAAATCTGATGCAAATATTTTTATTTATTTTTTGATAGCTGTAAGCTTGTCATAATATTTGTAGGATTTCATTCTAAATTATGTAATTGTTGGAGGGATTAAATTACACAAAGCACTGTGCCAGATGGATTTCAGCAAACTCCATGTCCAGGGTCTGTTCCAGATTCAGACTGATTACACTGCTGTTTTAATGCTTCTCTTTTTAAAAGGCAATAGGTGTAAAATATGTTGCACCTGTTTAGGCTTGGCACCCAATATGCAATATGTTGACTAATGATGCCATATAGTGGATGTGCACTCACTGTAATCGCAGCCAATTCATTTGTCATTCAATTGACATTCTTACATAACAAAAGAGACATGCTCACAGGCTTTATTTTGTGATTATTTCCCAGCTGACTGCACTGGAGATTGAAGCTGAAAAAAAGTATGGCTTCATTTTAGACAGTTGAGGGCAGACTTGGTTCATCCTAAATCATTATTGCCTTGTTTTTATTGAACAGAAAAGATGAAGTACAGTAAATGCTGTTTCTGTAGACAGTAGCCTACTCTCAGCAATGATCTCTCTCGCCTTGAGAAACGCTGCTGTGAGATTTGTATTGTTGAGAGCCAACTGTCGACTCCAATCATCGCATCGCCCTGCTCTTATTTATGCATGCAGCGATCACAATTTCAACTCCTCTGAGCCTTCCTCACTTCTGATAACTGCAGCCAAACAATAGATCATTCTTCTCAAGGACAGGTTCATGTTGCGTGGGATGGCCAGCAAGTATGTCTTTTAGTAGTGGAAATGGTACTCCATAATAGGTTAAGTCTCAACAGATCACAAAGCAGCCCTGAAGAGGACACATACCATAGTTGGGGATTAGGGAACAAGGTAATCAAAGGATTAACAAAGCTAGCAGCTCTGTGATTTGTCATGTAACACTAGTATGCTATTTTATTGAAGTACATTTCCAACTGCTTGGTGCTCAACTCTCAATGTAAACATTTATATTTGTATGAATGCACTAGCTCACAGGGTTCTCTGCAAACTTTACAGCATGAGTTCACTGAGAATGTCTTTCATATCCAAGCAATTACTACTGAAATATTGTTTCCTGAAATTAGTAGCGATACACAGCCATGGTTACAGTGTTTACATGCATACACTAATGCTCAGATTGCAAGGTATTGGAGCTGATAAATCCTTTATTTGCAAGTGTGGGTGAGTTCTGGTCCTGAACATAATTAGAGCACAAAATATCTGCTAATTACAGATGTTTGTGGATAGGATTTTCTAGAATGTTAGCGTATGTCTTTGCATTACGCTTCAACTGAGACTGACTGTAATTAGGCAATTAGCTTGTAAATGTATCTTGTCATGAAGCGAAAATATTTGACGAGGGAAGATTAATAGGGGAGACCAGGGACAGTTGCAACACTTTTTCCCCAATAAGTAAAAAACCATTTACAATAGGATAGCCATTTTGCTATATTATACATTATCAATATGTCAGCTACTGAAACAATGTATTTAAGATGTTTTTATGAAATAAGTACAGGTTGGAAAATGTATTTTTTTTAAAAACTCAACTGTTACAACTGTCCTTGTGTACAGGGACAGTTGTAGCACATGCCAGGCACGGTTGTAACATGTTAATAACGGTTACCTTTTTTCACACTGCATGACAACAAATAGGAAAAGCTGTCAAATTCTAAGGCAACAAGATTTGAATGGGGTTTCACACATCCTCCAACAAACAATGAACAGGATCACAGATAACACACACAGCATCATCCTCTGTGAAGGATTAAACTGTTCTCTGAGAGGTGCTTCTACCTTAATTATGTGGACCTACCTCCTTTGAGCTGAGACCATAATATAAATCAGCTGCCTCCATCAGGTAGTCTCTCAATAGCATCCCCTGCTCTGTTGAGAACACCTTCTTTGGTGTCCAGTAGCCTACTCTTGGGGGTGTTTGTGATCCCTGACTCTCCAACCTCAGCCTCCTCTTATGGAACCGGTACAGGGTGACATGGCATATATCCAGGGACTTTGCCACATCCCTGAATGATTCGCCCTTCTCAACTTCATTTGAGGCCCTCTGCAGCAGAGCAAGTGGCACTCCCCTGTCTGTCTTCCTCTTTCTGATATTTGGCATACTGTAAACACACACACACACTTTAGGCCTAATGTACAGTATTATATTCTGTTTATTTTTACAGGGACAATGCACACCAATCAACAATACAACTGTATGCTTGAATGAACAATTGATCATTCCAGCAAATGAGCCATCATTGTAAATGTGCCATGTTACAACCGTCCCGTTACAACCGTCCCAGGACCACCAGTCTTACTTCCACCCCCTGTGAACCTGCCTGGTTGCTAGCTTGACCCATATTTAGCTAGTTATATTTGTAGCTTACAAAACAGTGATTCTAATAATACTAGTTTGGATTCCTAGACATTTGAACTCAAGACAGTATCCAAAAAATACATCATATAATTGTAGTTAATATTTTACCTCAGAAACACACTTTTGCTGATATCTTACGCGAGAAATTCAAACATGGCTCCTTTTTTTCTCAGCGATCTTACCATCTAACTGCGCATGTGCAGAGTGAGTTTCATCACTCTAGCTTGTTTGTGATTGGAGATATTGAAGGTGTTACAACCGACCCGTGTTACAACTGTCCCTGGTCTCCCCTACTTAATGTATGCATCCTCCATGGTACCATGAATGTCTTAAACATAGTTAATGGCACTTCTTTTTTAATTCTGTCATGGGATTAAGTATTCGACAAGTGGAAAATTGGACCTGTTGTTGTAATGACACAAACATTCAGGCTATCGATTTTTCCTTCGAAGACCATGAATGCTTGTTCCAATTTCACAGCCTCCATACCTTTATTTGTTAGCACATTTCAATCTGTGTAGAAACGGACAACTGTCAATGAAACAGCCAGCTTGGCTAATATTCCTTGCTTTGAGAAAAGTTAAACACGTCAAAAACAACAACACAGTGAAAGCTTCAAATTAGGGTTCTGCTCACCTGTAATTATGTTGTCAAGAAGTGTTGTGGGCATGCAGAAAATCCCAACCAGGAGGTCGCTCACAGCAAGGTTCAAGATGAACAAATTGGTGACAGTCCGCATGTTTTTGCTCCTCAGCACAATGAAGCACACCACTCCATTTCCCACCATGCACACGAGGAAGATCAGCAGGTAGGACACGATGAAGATGGATGCGGTGGACGGCTGGTGCAGGTAAAATCCAACATAGGTGACGTTGTTCCTCGGTATGAAGGACTCCACCGAGGAGTTGTAAAATGTCCAGTTGTCATAGAGTTGAGTCAAGTTGTCCTCAAGTCCTTTGTTCATTTTAAACCTAAGAAATGAGGGATGGCTTTATGGTCAATCACTTTATTTTCTGAGGCCATATTGAAGACTATAGTATTTAAAGGTGGGGTAGGTAAGTTTGAGAAACCGGCTCGAGATACACTTTTTGTTATATTCCATGGAATGCTCTTAACATCCCGATAGCAATGAATATCTTAAGTGCTTTGACAAAAAATCCATTAAAAAAAAGTCATCTGTGGAAGCCGTAGTACTGTAAAAAGCACGACCAATCATTTTAGCGGCCCGGCTAAAGTAACTGGATGGCCTACCTGCCTGTCAGCCTCCATCTGTGCACAAACTTATCTCGTGCCCTCATTGGTCATGTGCGCGTTCGTGTGTGTTGGAGGAGGGGCTCTGTGAGGAAGTGGCAGATTTGTTCCGGCTGTGTATTTTCAAATTCTAGCGATCTCGAGCTGGTTTCTCCAAAAGTACTTACCCCACCTTTAAGTCAGCTTTAAATAATGAAGAAAAAGACAAAACCCTAAAATGGAACACCAATACATTTTTCTGTAATCATGCTTCGGTGCATACATAAATATGTATATGTAAACGTTTTAGTTGTTTTTCAACACTTGAGGCATCAGAGTCACTCACATATGGGATTTTTGATTTCTCAATGATGTGCCTCTTAGCTCCTCCGGCTTTTGTTCTGCTTTATAATCTTATCATCACTATTATCTTTAAGGACGTCCCAATTCTTAAAATCTATCTCAAGGAGAGAGGAGCAAGAAGGGTCCCATGAGCAGATATGATCGAGGGATCTAAGTGTTTTTGGCACCTGCATTCAAGATGTATATTTATTTAAATGTGGGATCAAACACTTCCCTTTACTGTCAGCGCTATTCTGACCCAATTCCGTAACATTCCAACTGGATATTACTAAAGCTGTTGAATGCTGCTACAACCAATTCAACTGATTTTCTTGACATGATGTTTACAAGTGCAAATGGCTGCTAAAGTGCAGTTAAAATATCAATAGGAACATTGCTTTGCACTCAGCACTCATTCTTCTTCATGTTGTCATAAAGATAGCAATGTGTTTGTGTGTATATTATAAATCAATCACAATTTAAATATGTCTTTTAATTGTATAGTATTTTGTTCTAGTGCTTTACCTTAAAGAATATATTAAATAATGTGTGTGTGTGTGTGGTGTGGTGTGTGTGTGTGTGTGTGTGGTGTGTGTGTGTGTGTGGTGTGTGTGTGTGTGTGTGTGTGTGTGTGTGTGTGTGTGTGTGTGTGTGTGTGTGTGTGTGTGTGTGTGTGTGTGTGGTTGTGTGTGTGTGTGTGTGTGTGTGTGTGTGTGTGTGTGTGTGTGTGTGTGTGTTGTGTGCATATGTGTCATTAAAATAATAAATACAAAGAAATATGGCATCCGTAAATTCTTGCCACATCTATGCTACTTTGTGAATTGAATTATAAGTAAACAAATAAGTTGTCATAAACGCTGTTATGCTAATGTTACAGATCATAACAAACAGCGGTAAAACAATTCAATGAACGGCCGAAGTAGCTTTGACAAACATATTTAATTAATGTTACTTTAAAACGACGCCTCCGAGACAAAGATGTCTCGTTTTGTTAAATGCTTTTTGCATCCATCTAGGAAGGGAGGATGTACAAACTCAGAAGTGAGCAAGACCTTGAATCCCCTTTTATACGTTTCATTTGGTAAATGTTTAAGGGAATCTTTCACACAGCTAGAGCCGCCCCATTACTAACATTGACCACCTGATGGATTTCAACTCAAATAGTCGCTTTCCTGCAGCTTTGGTTGGGACTACCCATGCTGAGGCAAACTGCAGAGTCCAAAGATGACTCGCCCTTTTTCAAATTGCGTGTAGTCATTTGATCCATTGCTAATATTACAATTAAAATCTCTAAAATATTGAGTAGTGCAGCTAATTTTAGTTGCACTTATAGGACATTGTCCCATCGTTGCCATTAATATGTAGAGTGTGCATAATTCATCATATCACCAGCGCTTGTATGGAAACCAGGCACATCAGCTCTTTCGTGTTTCATGAAAAAAATATCGTAGGCTACACCTCAGAACGATAATGCCAAAAGTAAAGTCATCAAGTATCCAATCAACTCCCTGAAAATATGACGTGTTAATCTTAATTAATGTAAGGCGAAGCCAATTGGTAGAGCACATTAAAAGGGCTATTCAGCTAATCCGACTGCACTGGCTGCTTTATAAGGAGAAGGGGACGTGGAAGGACATATGACGGGCCTACTTACACGCATTTGCATCTGTTTTCTCTCTCTTCAGGAACCAGTGCCTTGTTCTGTTTTTGGATTGAGTTTTAATGAATGTTCAAATAAAGAAACTGAAACTGAAACTATGATTTTTATAATATATTGATCTGCCTTATTTTTTTGTATTTGTTGCCTGAGCTACAAAATGTCCAAAGCATAAGGTCTTTGAAAATGTAATATGAAAAAGTACCAACTCAGTACAATTCAGACATGATTATAAATTGAAAAGAGAATCTTTGGCATCTTCCCTCGAAAAAAAGACTTGGTTGCCAAGAAATCGATGAAACATATTCTTTGGTAAAACCATTAGTCGAAAAGTTTTTTTTTTACCATTGAATAATCTTTTAGGCTATTTATTAACAATACATGTTTTCTATGGTTTATTGTAATAATTGGGAATCAAATATCATTGGATTATCGTCCAATTGTTGGTTTAAACAACTTATTTCACACATTCATCTTAAATAAATAGATTCAGAACCATGTAAGTTCCTTAAGACAGACCTCCTACATTCTCCTGTCGGTTTGAATTCATTGGGTTGCTTTTTGATCACTTGCATTAGTCTGCAGTTGTCACATGTGTGGAAAAATCAACCATTACCATCTCTCACTTACTGCAAATCAACAAAGGGCGACTACAGTAAAAATAATCAACATGAAATCTTCTTCAGGAATCCCAAAAGGCTGTTTACATGACCATTTATTTTTTGACAGTATTCTCAGTAGTCCTTGTAAACACCATCTGCTGTCTGACTCCCTTCTAGCACCATTCGAAAGTGACACATACCAGAAAAAAGTAAATGGCTGTTGTTTGCAAGTGGAGAACAAAATGGGTCCAGAAAGGCAGACACCATCTCCGTCCCTAACAGCTGTGTCTGTGGTGTACAAGTGTTTTTGAAGTGGAATTAGGGGATGTTGTGAAGTTGATCTGCATCAGCGTAAGTAGCTGTTGTGATTATGAATCCTGCTCATTATGTCTGATTATAAATGTGTGTGATCTCCATCTGCTTCCTTTTGTGTGGAGGAGCTGAACACTGAAGAAGCAATGGACAAAGGCGGGGGCTAATTAAAGGAAGTGAAGATTTTCAGAGCTCTTAAATGTGCTCACCCGCCATATTAAATGGCTTATTATGGAATGTCAGATGCAGGCGTGTGTGAGGTTGTGTATCTGAGACGTACTTTGTATTCACGGATTTTAAGCACGCTGAAAGGAAGGTAGACGTTTTTAGGACAACAATTATACACTTACTGAGACATTTGATCACAGCTTGTTTACTTTGAGACAAAATAAGTTTGCTACATCATGTGGACACAAATTTGTGGTGTTTTTCTGTGTCAATGATTTTCTCCTTGCTTTTTGAAGGAGACTTTGAATGTGTAAGCATCAAGCAGCAAGAGAGAACTAAAATGGACATATAGGACTGCCTAATGCTAAAATCTCCAAAGACAATGATAAATATATTTTTAGTAATCATGAGAATGAAAAAAAAGTTTTGATGTATCTGAATGCCTTTATAGAAAAACACTATGATAATATGTTATGCTGTGTTGGTTTCCAGCAGAGACTACCATTTTTCCAATATGATGCATGAGATTTGTTTTCTTATTTCAGAGAGTAAATGTGTGACTATACCTGGAGGATGTGGAGCGCTCACAGTATTCAATTTGTTTAGTACGTGATGATTGAGAAATTGTGCGGTTTAATCACATTTCACATACTTCCCATTACCTTTTTCCTAAATCTTGATACCTGAGCCCTGCAATGAACCTGGTGTGACGGTTAGTTCCATATGACATGTTCACATCAGAATTGAACATCTATCCTTACATCAAATTTAAAATCTCTATATTTATCTCCATAAACTCTTGTTGTTGTATGTTTTTTTAAGGTTTAAATAGAGTTTATGTGCCTGTGAGTGCTTTTGTGTATTTGTATGCATTAGGCAACTCTATCGTTTACTTAAGAATAATTACTCATTAAGCAGAATGGCTCTTTTGAAAGTGTTATATTATAGTATATTACATAACCTGTTTTTATCACAAACGAATACATTTAAGGTTTTGTTATGTTAAAATGTGTCAATGTAGAACATCATTTGAATACTTGTTGGCCCCTGTTGCCCTCCCCCTAGAACCGCCCCTGGGGTAAATTAGTGTGTGTATATATATACACACTATACGATATATATTTTAAAACACATGTTATTTATGTGAAAGAGAAGCTAGTAACTTCAACTGTCAAATAAATGTAATTTTTTGTAGAATATTTCCCTTGTAATTGTACTGGAGTACTGTACAAGTAAAACTAGCAGAAAATAAAATACTTAAGTGAGGTATAGAACCTAGAAATTCTACTTAACACAGCACTTATCATAAAAATACTTAATTACTTTCCACCACTGCTTTCCATCTCACTAAACATTGATTTAACGTCCTGTGGAGCACAGTCTGGCACATTTTGATTATGAAATCTGTAAATGGATGAGTAATGACTTATTTCTTAGTATCCATTATAACAAGAGAAGGGCATCCACCCTCCCCTGATGGATGTTGTTGTTTCGCTCAGTGTATTTGCATTATTTGTTTAGCCGGATAGTAATTGTAGTCGTGTAACGTTTTTGCCCCTGCAGCTAACTTGAGTCATTTTTTTTAAATGGTTTGAATGGAAGTCATTATAGTAATAAAGGTCTGAAGGTGGTGGGAGAGGCATGAGGGAAATTACATTCTCAGGGGACAGATGCTAATCTAAATGGAAATGTTTAATCTTCAGCAGAATTATCAAGATTTCTATGATAATCTTGATTTGTAGCAAAAATCTGGAATGAAATAGTGGAAGAGCCATGTAAGCTGAACATGTTAAATGGCATCATAACCACTGAGGCTAAATGTGTTTAGAAATAGTGCTTAATATCCAAATACTATCTGGAGAGATACTTGCTGAACAATGATTGCACTGAAGTTTACCCAGCTATCTAAAATTGCAAACAGTGCTGGTTCACAACGGTCAGAAACCATGTTCTACAAAATATCACAAATATGACATATTGCCTTTTTTGGAAGTGCTGTTTTTCTCTTAGATGTATAAGCATGATATACTTTAAAGGGACACAACCCAATAATAACCTAGGGATGCAACAATCGATATTTTTCATTACCAATTATGTATTTGACTTATCAATAATTGATTTAAATAAACCTCAATTAACATATCAGGGGGAAATGCAGACTGCATGAAACTGCTAGAATAACCCATATATAACAAACCCATATTTTTCCACTTTAAATAAATATTTTCTTTGTTACAGTGTCGTTATATCTCAGACAATCTCCTTCCCTTGCAGCATGCATGGAAAAAAAATGTGTGCGTGTGTGCGCGTGTTTTCAGCGAGCCTCTCCTCATCTTCTAGTTGAACAACCTGCATCTCTCACAATGGAAACGGTCAAATGCCAGTTGACGTTTACAGGATACATGTATAAAATATACATTGCAATGTCTAAACAGGTCAAGTCACACGATAAAAAAACACACCACAAGGTGACAATATTCCTGTTCATCACGGCCTCAACTCTTAGCCTCCAGCCCCCATGACCGACATGTGCTGCAGCTATGCCTCTTCACATCAACCTGCTCCGGCAGACAGGACCACACTGTGTGCCAACATTGCGCGTCTAACAGTCGCTGCACTTCTCATGCGCCCTTGGGAAAATAACGGTACCCAGGGCTGTTGTTCCGATGTTAGTTCTCCTCTGCTGTCAACTTTGAGCGTACATTTGCAAAGGATGCAAACATGAGAAGTTGACTGTGCGCAAAAGATAACTCACACGACTGACCACTTCTGGAATAAGAGGTTGCTGTCCTGTGTCCAAACGATCTGTGCACCGAAGCGGAGAAAACTGGCAGGATGGAGAACAGGACGATATGACCTGAAAGCCGTGCGCCTCGATAACCTATAATAATCACTTCACGATGATTGTACAATGAGTACCGTTCAAACTTTAGGGGAAAAAATGGAATCTTCAACGACAAATATCCACAGTTTTAACACAAAATACTGTTGAACTAACCTTGGTTGGTTTCAAATCTGGAGACAGGCTGCGCACTCCGAGGAAAAGCAAAGTAAAAAATGTCTACTTCCTTCTTAATGAAACATACGTGGATGAAAGGGAAAGAAACACACAGACAGAGCATTTAAAAAAAGAGTATGAGTCCGGTGTCGCGTGCGTCGCTGCGAAGCGCTTCATAGATGTGTTACAGGATGCGCTCAGCCAGCCGCTCAGAGCGCGAGTGGAGGATTTTCAGCCGGAGACGTCCGATTTTGATGCCATGACGTCGGGAGTGAAAGGGGTGGGATGAGAAATAGATTAATAGACTAATGGTTGAATTATACTACAACCCCCTTAATTTTTCGTCAGAATGTATTATGGTGCATAGTTACGAATTTTTGTTCTCAAAAAACAGTGCATTGTGTGTAACTGTGATTGTTATTAAATTAGTTACACAGACTATTTCCTCTTTACTCTTCTCTCTGTGAGGAGCAGCAAGCTGTCAGAACAAAGTAAAAAACAAACAATGGCATCAAATATTATTAATATGTCGGGTAGTAATAGATTTATTTATTTTCTTCTCAGAGTGTACCAGAATGCGTAGTTGATGTTAGTATTTCTAAAAATCTCCTGGGGGACAATCCCCCCAGACCCCCTTGCTGGGGTTGGGTTTTCAGCATGCCTTTTTATGTTAGTTCAGCTTTGATTCCATCATCTCATTAAACCTTTTTTTAAATCATACTTTAGTTCTGTGAAGGGATATAAGGGATATATGCACTGTACTTCACTTTTAATATTGTATGCTGAAAAGTGTATATATTACAGCACGATTTTTTGTTGAATAGATTTCAGTGCTTTAAAATGTTGGGTCGCAATGTATTGACCAAGTAAAAAGTGGGTCCGAGGCCTGACCAGTTGAAAACCACTGATCTAGAGCCCCACTCTAGATGATATTGACTTATTTTATGTTGTGGAACAAAATCTCTTCAGCGTGTGTCAACCACAGACCTTATTTCAGGCTTCTAACCAAAAACAAGTTTAAAATGTTGATTTTATGTCAAGGGAACCATAAGTGGTGTAATGTTAAGTATTTTCCGGGTCCTGGACTCATCACTGCACCACTCCATAATGGAGGGAACACCAGAGGGAACAGCAACAAAAACTAATAAGGACTGTCAGAGTAACAGAAGTCTGAAAATAATAATTGGACTCAACGTTGTTGTGAAGGCAGGAATTTCTTTAAATGGGAAATATGATGCAACCGCACTAAAAGCATGAGTGTCTAGAACCGTGTCGTAATGATAAGAGTTTTGTGAAGGTTATACTTTTATGACAGTTTAAACTTTGGAAAACGGTTTTAGGTGACTCATATCTCCTCTGATCAGTTGACGTCTTGAAGAAAACCTTGTGTGGACCTCTGAGTCTCAAGTGTTTAAGGGGATCTGTGGCCTGTCTTTATTAGATTGTTGTAGATTTTTCACACCTGAATAGAGTCTGAAAACGAATTCCAGTGCCACAGTATTCCACAGAGAGCAGGACAAAACAAGTTAGTGTGTTCTCTGAACTGTGAATGACACCTTTACCTGGAGGAGTCAAGTCAAGTGCATAGTTATACAACGGTTATACAAGAACTCTGGTTTATGTTTCGCAAGTAAATGAAACATCTAAAGTTATGGCTATTTTTTTAGCTTGGTTATTTTGCAGCTGTGATTGTTGAAAAGATGACGCACAATAGATTGTGTTGTTTGAAGAAAGGATGTGATGTGCCTGCAGGTTATTCAAAGGCTGAGAATTCAAACTTTTCTGTGAATTTGAATACAAATGTAAGCGCACCTTTAGTTGTTCTCACACTTCTTTCGTCTAGTATAATGAAGATGGTGTGAAGAATAAAGCAAAAATAGGCCCATTAAAAAAAAAAAGACAACTTTTGGTTTGGTTCAGATCCAACTTCACGCTATAACTTCATCTACCTCAACAATGTCAACTTTAATCTTTCCTATCTATTCATTGTCCTTTTCCTGCTTTTCCCATCATGATTTATTTCCTTTCTGTCATACCCACTATTTTCTATTGCCTTCCATCTTTGTATGCCTTTGCATCAGTGACAGGCATAATGTTGGTTTTTTTATGCAATATCTCAGAAACACCAGGAGGAAATGTCTGGCTCCAATTGGACATAAGGATGTACTGATTTGATGTTAGTGGTCAGAGGTCAAGGGCACATTGTGTTCATGTCCATCCTGTTCTCATTAATCCGTTTTTTCCCAAAATAATTATTGAGGGAAAGTCTTAAAAACTTCCAAATTCTTGGTTTATTTCTTTATTTGATATATTGCTTTGGAACAGAAGGGGAGAAAGTGACCATATTTCACATTTGGTCAGATACTGAACTCTTGACACCAATCTTTGTTTTCTCCAGAGTCTTCACAATCTGTACAGCAAACATCCTCCTCTATCTTTAGACCTTCGGGGGGAACAACTCCCAGGCAAATCTGCCATGGCTTGATATAAAGAGGGGCAGAATGGTTATTGAAAATAGCTTTGAATTTGTCCCTTGTTCCCTTATGCACCGCAGCCTCCCCACTGTCCAGGGTCATCACTATCCAGCTGGCCTCACTTAGCAGCCTTTTGAGACTGCCAACCTTAAAAACCTTGCTTCCAGATTTGGGGTGTTGGGCATTTTTTTGTTCCTGCCTCTTTGAATAGAACCTAATTAACAAACTATCAAACTGCACTCAGACCATTGATGTAGTATTAACAAGCTGATCTTATACTTGACATTTTGGTGGAGGTCACACTGGCGCTACAGTGACTATCTACAGCAGGGGTCCCCAAACTTTTTCCCGTGAGGGCCACATAACTTTTCCCTTCTCTGATGGGGGCCGGGTCAGTTTGTAACAGAAAAAGTGTGACGATCGCATGGGTGTCTAAACGTAAACATTTATTGTTTTCTAGAAAGCCACACATAACCAAATATTAATAACCCTTTCCGGGATCTTCACAGAAAAAAAGTCAGGAAATAAATAATAACACTATTAATGAAATAAATAACCCTCTCTGGGTCAGTGGCGTTTTCTCCTGGAGGCCAAGGGAAGCCAGGCTTCCCCTGTTTTTTCGGATTGTAGTTATAATTTCAATAAATAAATAAAAACACTTTGTTTTGTTTAGATAATTCTCCTTTGCTGTGTGTTGCTGCCGGTGTCAGTACCAGATATGTTCGGGCTACCAGATATTTTCGGGTGTATTTCCGTCGCATCCGTCATCCGTCATATTCGTCATATTTTACGGCAACTCAAGAGGGCCATCACGGTCAAATTCCGAACATTTAAACATAGCCGACACTTCATTCTTTACTTTGTCCGTTATTATATGTAGAAGATTATACTTTTTCTCCGTCATGTTGTTTCCTTAGCAACAACTTCAAACAGGCATAGCCTACACTTCATTCGTTACTTTGTCCGTTATTATATGTAGAAGATATTAATTTTTTCTCCGTCATGTTGTTTCCATAGCAACAACTTCAAACAATAACAACTAACCGCTAGCCGCAAAGCTAGCTTCACAGCCACTGCTCCGTTTTCGGAGACTTTGCACACGTTTTTCACAAACATTTTCACACGCTAGGAGTACTTCCACTAGCTTCGTCTTGATCTGTAGGTGTGATTTGATGTGTCGTGTGTCCCCCAACTCCTCTCCAAAGTTCAGATATATAATAAAATACTCAGGGGAGTTTCCTGAATTTTCATGCCCAAAGCCAAGCACTATAAGCCCTGGGTAAATTAAGAGGCTGATCTCGGGCACTTTTGTCCACTTTCCCTGGTGGCCGAAACTCAAGCCAGACATCCCTGGAATCGTCTCAGAGAGTATATGATCAGTGGGGCCTTGTTTTTACTGAATTATGTGTTTTTTTTATGATGAATTCAAATATGGGCTTATTTTTAGGATTTTCGGAGACTTTGCACACGTTTTCACAAACATTTTCACGCTAGGAGTATGGGAGTACTTCCATTCGCTTCGCCTTGATCTGTAGATGTGATTTGATGTGTCGTGTGTCTCCCAACTCCTCTCCAAAGTTCAGATACTATATAAAAATACTAAAAGGTAAATAAAACATTAAACATAATGACAAAATAACAACCTGAAATATATGTATTCTATCTACACATTTCGTAATTATCTAATCTAGTGGCCTGATAAAAGTGTTGGCTAAAGTAACGCAGAATATATATATTTTTTAATTGTAAATAATTAGAAACATTATTGATGTGCACAAGTAAATGGGACCACACCATAGCACCCCACACATAACAAGCTGTCCCGAGTTCCTCCGGCTGCAGTTCCGCAGACGGCCGGTGTGTGGCAGCAGAGCGCTGGGAGCAGAGGGAGGTGAGTATATGACGGATATGACGGAAGACGGATGCGACGGAAATACACCCGAACATATCTGGTAGCCCGAACATATCTGGTACTGACACCGGCCGTCTCTCCCCCATTCTCATTGAGTACTTTACAAAGAGTGAAACAGCGCCCCTCTAGATGTTATGGTGAAACAGTAGATTGCACTCTCTGTTGCGAGAGGAGGCCAGCCGAATCTGGCTTCCTTTGGTGAAAAAAAATTGAGGGATTGACCAATCAGATGAGGCCCACGTGATGCCCCTACCAACCTGTGATTGGTCAGGGCCATGCCAAGGGAAGCCAGCCGCCTCTTGCTTCCCTTCAGAGGCGGCTGGCGGCTGGCGATTTGATTGGACACTGCCATCCAATCAAATCACATCAACATCAGTTTTAATACTGTAACTGTCATCACCGCCGTTAGAAATTATCAAGCAAATGAAGCATTATGGAGGGTGGAGATTTGGCGTACTTAATCAAACATAACTTTACTAAACTTCCGCTACAGCAGCAACTAAACATTAAATCAGATGACAGGCCAATGCCCGCACTCCAGCTGTGTGTACACAGAGGAAAAAGGGAGAGAATCGGACGTTCAATGAGGACAATTATGTCCGCACGGAGTGGCTAACTGGAAGCGCTAAACTTCAGCGTCTATTTTGCTGGCCATGTCTTCTTTTTGACAAGGATTCGTGCTCCCTGAACAATCCTTGGGCAACTTCAGGATTCATCGACCTTGCCAACCTGTCACGGGCAATTGAGAGGCACGGTAAATCCAAAAATCACATAGATTGTATGATTGTCTGCATACATTAATAAGTAAAATGCTTAAATAGAGAGTT